GAGGCTGGCTGGTAAACAATGCCACCGGCGGAACATGTGAGCGTGGCTCAGGCTGCACATTGGACGCGTCTCGGACGAAGGGCGGTGAGCGGGTTTTTGGGCGGTATGCGAGGCAAAATTTTTGCGATCAAAGCGTCCGGTATGTGGATTGTACGGTATGCGATGCGTCCGGTATGCGGGGGTCCACTGTACTTTCAAATATTGAAAAAACGTAGATCTATGTTTGGCCAGTTTAAGGGTTAAGGAATTTCCCTTGAAGGGGAAGTACGCATCCTGAAATTTCATTTGTATCCAGAAGCAAAAAATCGACCGAACGAAGGCTCATATCCATGGTGGGGCATTCGAAAGCTGAGGTTCCACTGTATTATGATGAAGGTATGGAAGTTTTCATTGCATTTATGGATTTAGAAAAGGCATATGATAGTGGATAGGGGAGCAATGTGGCAGATGTTGTAGCTGTATGGAGTAGGTAGTAGGTAACTAAATGCTGAAAAGAGTTTTTATGAGGATAGTTAGGTTCAAGTTAGGGTGTGTAGGAGAGAGGGAGATTACTTCCCAGTAAAAGTAGGTCTTAGACAGGGATGTGTAATGTCAACATGATAGGGTGTTGGGGAGAGGGGTGGGATTAAATTATGGGGAATCAAATAAAAAATGGAAGTTGACAGTTTTTGCTGATGATACTGTGCTTTTAGGGGGCATTCTAAAGAAAAGTTGCAAAGGTTAGTGGACGAGTTTGGGAGGGTGCATGAAGGTAGAAAGTTAAAAGTGAATATAGATAAGAGTAAGATGATGAGGGTATCAAACGATTTAGGTAAAGAAAAATTGGATATCACATTGGAGGGGGGGAGTATGGAAGACGTGAATGTTTTCAGATATTTGGGAGTTGACTTTTCAGCAGATGGGTTTATGAAGCATGAGGTTAACCATGGAATTGATGAAAGAAAAAAGGTTAGTGGTGCATTGAGGTATCTATGGAGACAAAGAAAGGAATGTACAAGAGTATAGTGGTACCAACACTTTTATATGGGTGTGAAGCATGGGTTGTAAAGGCTGCAGCAAGGAGGCGGCTGGAGGCAGTGGAGATGTCGTGTCTAAGGGCAATGTGTGGTGTAAATATTATGCAGAGAATTAGTAGTGTGGAAATTAGGAGGAGGGGGTGGATTTACTAAAAGTATTAGTCAGAGGGCTGAAGAGGGGGATTTGAGGTGGGTTTAGTCATTTACAGAGAATCAAACAAAGTAGAATGACTTGGAGAGTGTATAAATCTATTGGGGATGGAAGGCAGGTTAGGGGATGTCCCTGAAAACGTTGGTGGGAGGGGGTAGGGAAGGTTTTGTTGGCAAGGGGCTTGGACTTCCAGCAAGCATGCATGAGTGTGTTAGGAGTGAATATAGACAAATGGTTTTTGGGACCTGACGAGCTGTTGGTGTGTGAGCAGGGAAATATTTTGTGAAGGGATTCAGGGAAACTGGTTACCTGGACTTTAGTCCTGGAAGTGAGAAGTACAATGCCTGCACATTAAAGGAGGGGTTTAGGATATTGCCAGTTTGGAGGGGTGTCTAAACTGTTGTAGCTGAGTGCCTCTGCAAAGACAATGATTATGTATGAGTGATGGTAAAAGTGTTGAATGATGAAAGTTTTTCTTTCTTTTGGGTCACCCTGCCTATATATATCTTTCTTTCTTTCTTTCAACACACCGGCCGTATCCCACCGAGGCGGAGTGACCCAAAAGGAAAAATGAAAGTTTTTCTTTTTAAATTTAGTAATTTGTACAGGAAAAGGGGTTACTAGCCCCTTGCTCCTGGCATTTTAGTCGCCTCTTACAATGCATGGCATACGGAGGAAGAATTATGTTCCACTTCCCCATGGAGATAAGAGGAAATAAACAAGAACAAGAGCTAGAAAGAAAATAGAAGAAAACCCTAAATGCACTAGAAGATAAAAAGAATGCAGATGTAATATATACAGACTTTGCAAAAGCCTTCGACAAGTGTGACCATGGCGTATTAGTGCACAAAATGCGTGCTAAAGGAATAACAGGAAAAGTCGGTCGATGGATCTATAATTTCCTCACTAACAGAACACAGAGAGTAGTTGTCAACAGAGTAAAGTCCGAGGCAGCTACGGTGAAAAGCTCTATTCCACAAGGCACAGTACTCGCTCCCATCTTGTTCCTCATCCTCATATCCGACATAGACAAAGATGTCAGCCACAGCACCGTGTCTTCCTTTGCAGATGATACCTGAATCTGCATGACAGTGTCTTCCATTGCAGACACTGCAAGGCTCCAGGCGGACATCAACCGAATCTTTCAGTGGGCTGCAGAAAACAATATGAAGTTCAACGATGAGAAATTTCAATTACTCAGATATGGTAAACACGAGGAAATTAAATCTTCATCAGAGTACAAAACAAATTCTGGCCACAAATAAG